GAGGTATATGCATCTTTAACGACGCATCCTGCACAGCCTAGCTAGTTCATAATTGGGCGCGCCGCCCCAGTCTAGAGGCCTCCACACTCATGTACGTCTGCCATGCTTAAGGCCTTGGCTGCTAGGCGGCACTGTGCATGACCCATCTTGATTGCATCCACGCCGCTATAGGACTGGTGCCTGTGGCTTGTAGAGGCACAGTCACCTCCAGAGATAACATCATGCCATATTGGTAGGAGGTGGCTGGACGGGGCTGGCATGGAGAAGCAGGGATTGGATCCACGTTGGGGGTGGGCAAGCGAAGCAGTGCATTTCCTAGGTGCGGCTGAATTGTTGCGGCTGGACAAGACGGCGCTATTGTGCTATTTGTCGCAGAAACTTACACCTTACCGGTACTGCTAGTTTGGAGGGGCTATTTTGACACCCATCATAATCATTTCTGTTGTGTGACTCACTGCGCATTGAGGTACAAAGTTGCTGTATTCACGTCGTGTAGGGCTTCACGAGCGATACACCTCGGCTAAGTGCCTCATAGTGCCAAGAAACAGTCATGAGCCGACCAGCACATAGAAGCTGTAGTCTGTAAGGTTGGCTGGATGCCTCAATTACTTTGCACCGCACAGCCGCAATCGTACGCGTTGCTAGTAGTTGCTGGTGGTTGTAGTGGTTGTAGTGGTTGCATGCTGCATCCATTGTGGGGTTCATGTGCCGTTTGGTCCGGTTTGCTTGGTGGCCTTGGAATGACGTACTCATTGACGTTTCCAACGGTTCTTTACTAACGACTGACATTCTAGAATTGCAGCGTTGGATTCTCTGGATGCTGATTGAAGGGCGAGAATACTAGCCGATGTATGCTTCGACTACACAATGGCAGCTGATGTCTCTACCATCGCCAAGTTAAACAGCCGATGATTTATTTCTTGAGGCCTACCACCACCAAGTTGCGTGGACTATGCTTATATTCAAAGACGGGCTCGACCCATGCGTGCTCAACCTCTTCCTGCTCTTTTAGCCATAGATACCGATCCGTTACCACGACGGCTTCGACCACACCCGCGCTGAAGGCCATAAGACTCCACATGACACTCAGCTCCTTCTTCCTCTCCGCATACCTGACCTCATAGTTCCGAATATCGTCATCTGTCAAACCGTCCATCTTTTCCTTGATGAAATTGGGATCGATCTCACAAAAGGAGTTATCAGCCGTAAGTTTTGCTATTGCGGCGCGAACGTATGAGACGAAATCGCTGTAGGCAAACTTGCGCAGTGTTCCAATTGTGAGAGGCGTAGTAGTGCCGTCTGAAGAGAGACCAGGGCCACGGCCATTGGGTGGTGTCCAGTTTACTTGCGACGTGTGACCGTTTGCTGACACAGCACTGCCAGTGAGACCTTGATCGTGTAAGGGCGCCGAGACTACGCCACGATCAAGAAAGATGCGCTGAAGCAGTGCTCGAAAGAAGTGACGCGTGAAAAACAGGTCTGAGTCGACAGGACCCCAGTTGAACGGTGCTTGTACGGCCATCATGCGGGCAGTGATGTTGAGTCGAACCCCTTTAGGTTGTTCAGCTGTCTCGCCACTGCGCGAATCAAGAGGGGCATATGGAAGTGGGTAATTTGCGAGCTTTTCTGACATTGGAAAGCCGTTGGGGTCGAAAGCACTGGATGTGGATTCCAGGCGCGGATGGTTTGCACGCAGTGTAGGCAGCTTGTACGTTGGCGGACCAAGACGTTCAGTAAGCAAGTTGTAGCAACAGCCCACCATGGCTACAGCTGAGATGTGAGCGTTGAGCATCATGGAACGCAGCCCATAATGTACTAGGTTGCCGCATGAATGAAGTGAAATTACCATGGCGTTCACATCAGTAGGTTTAGGCACCACATCCAAGTTTGTAGCTTCAGCAACCACAGCACTGTCTTTTGTAACAGCTTCCTCGGGTACACGAGTGGTGTCCAGAACCTGGTCGATGACTGGCGTGAGGTCGCCGTCTTTGATGATGTGCTCGACATATTGGACACTACCGTGACCCTCGTTGTATATCTGCAGCGTAGAAGTTTTGGTCGCCTCACTCGGGGGGTTGTTTGCAAATATCTCGGTTGCTTGTGGAAGCACACATCCGTCGTCACATTGTGGCCCGCTAGTCAAGGTTGAACTGACTGGTTCATGTTCGGTAGGCGGGCTTGATGTGATTTCATTTGTTTGTGAGTCTGCTTGTGCATCTTCTCCCTGTGCCAGAGCATCTGCGCTGGACGACGCAGTGGAGGTATTGACCCCATTCTCCTTGCCTTTCTTGACTTTGCCTATTTTGGCCCTGTACTCCTTCTTGTTCCTCATAACGATAGGTTTGGGCACCAGCTTTGCCAACATGTCCATGTTCTTGGCACCCTCAATGTTGTGTTGCTTACTCTCCACTGCGACAATGTGTTTGGAATAGGGCGCTGCAGCAAGAGCACGTCCAAGGTAATTCTGACCAGAACCAAAATCCACGAGGTGCGTGATGGGTTTCTTCTTAGAGGCCTCAATCTCAGCAGTCAGTCTGTCAATGTAGCGTGCAAAGTTATCGACCTCGTGCACCTTCTTGACTTTCATGCCCATGGCAATATGGCGTGGTATCGCAGGCTTCCCAGCTGTGATGTTTGAGTTGAGCGGAGGAAAGTCGCGTGCCAGCAAGTGCTTCCGAACCGTCTTAATGTAATCTAGCAGCTCCTGTGGCGGTGGTGACGCATCTCGCCAATTTTCAGAGACACCTGGTTGCTTCACATCAAACTGGCCAAGGTCCTCTCTCATGAGCAAATCCAAAATATCCATGATGTCGCGTGTCTTGAACCAATCCCTCCATGTTTGGGGCAAGATGTGCGAGTAAAGGTTAGGTGACCTTGTATAAAAGTCCAAAATGTGGACACCGCCGCATAATGTCTGGAGCAGCCATGAGGAAGTTGCAAATTCGAGCAGTGACTCGACGTATTCGTCGGTGTTTGTGAATTCGGCTGGAAGAGGTAGAGGCGTATCCGGTCCCATTGTCTCAGCCAAGTCCTCTTCGTCGACAAGTCGACTCTTTCCGTATCCAAGCTTTTGATGATAGTCGGGCCATCAAGAAAACATCGTGGTGGTGGTGTTCTGAGCAGACAGTGGGGGGTATTTTTTTCGGGAAGGTGGGTCCGTGCCGAGGCGTTCGTTCCAACGCGTCATCCGGTCAGGCTGTCGCTGCGCTGCGCTTCAACATTGTTCTTTGGAACTTGACCATTTCATCCACCCACCTCCACTATTAGAATTGATAACAAGCGGCCGTCGCGTGTATATATACAATGGCGTCGCTAAATGGCGAGGATCCATTCCTCCAGGTTCAAGCGTGAGACGGCTCCCTACGACCCCCATATAGGCAGCATTGTTAACCCGTGGTAGCGATGTGCTCACCGCACTCGACAATGCGCGGCCATTATTCAAATCATATCTGCGTATCCGGTCATCGGCATCCTCGGCCAATAGCCCTGAGCTCCGCGAAGCCCGCAGCGAACTCGAGCAGACGCTACAGGACCTCAGCCAGGATCTTGAGGACATGGTGGAGAGCGTCAAGGTGGTCGAACACGACCCCTATCGCTTTGGGCTTGAGATTGATGAAGTCGAGCGCCGGAGAACTCTGGTCAGGGATGTTGGGTACGAGATCGAGAATATGCGCGAGGAGCTCCAGCAGACGGTCCAACATGCCAAAAACAAGTGCAAGAGCACTGCAAATGGCGACGTGTTACCCGATCCAGACAGTTTTGAGGACGAGGACAACTATGCTGCATTTGAACAAGAGAGACAAATGGAGTTGATGCATGAACAGGACGAGGCGCTCGATGGTGTTTTCCGCACCGTTGGCAACTTGCGCCAGCAGGCCGACGACATGGGCCGCGAACTCGAGGAGCAGGGCGAACTGCTTGCCGACGTTGACAATGTAGCTGACCGGGTTGGCGGAAAACTCCAGACAGGCCTCCAGAAGGTCGGTCATATCATCAGGAAAAACGAAGGTATGTTGTGTGGTGCAAATGTTTATCGCAATGCTGACTACCCCTCTCAAGACTCTTGGTCCAGCTGCTGTATTGGCGTACTAATATTCGTCCTTATACTCCTACTTGTCCTCCTTCTGTTCCTCTGAAAGCGCGACAGGAATATGTCTCTCACCTCGGCCCGGCCCGATGCATGTCTTCCCGCATGCGCGTGTGCCCAGCTTCCGGCACTCGAGAGAGCTTGCTGGCTAGCTTTGTGCCTGCGATACCATTATCATATCCTCCTTTCAGCGAGTCAAACCATGCATTCTACACCTGGCTAACACGAAGTGAAGTTGCTTTTCACGCACTTGACCTCGCAGATCTATGCCTGGCAGTAATGACGACAACTTCGAGGAGCTATCACAAACGTGATTTAGTCTGTCGTCTCAGCTACTTGGCTTAATTTGGACTATGCTATGCTCTAGGATATCCCTCCGGCTCTTGCATAATCGTTTTCCCGACGTGGTAAAGTCGCAATGTGCTTCACAAAGCATCTTGCCACCCAAACATGCACGAATCGCATCTAGAAGAGCTTGCATCGGAAGCAAGGCTCGATACAAGTCGTATTTGGTAGTGCCGAAGAAATGTTACAGTTGCCAATCGTTGATGGGTACTGGCAACACCCCGTTCACCCATGGGTTTCACGATTGCCAACACGCGCTGTCTCATCGTCGTCCAGCTCTTTAGTCCACTTTTATAAACAACTGGCTGGGATTCCTGGTGTCGCATCACATCGTATAGGGCTGAACTAGTCATGCTGCATACGTAGCGTTGCTTCTGAGACGCAGCCGGTGTGAGATCTTTAACACATTCATGCAACCCTTCAAGAAAACCCACCTTAGTCATTACTTGCAGCTTCCCGTGCCGTTCAATCCTCTACTACTACAGTCGCACTGTTTTAACTCTACAATCAATGTATTGGCTCAAACCTAGCTGTCTCTCCCCTGCTTTCCAACGCTCCCGTTCATGTGATGGCTGGACGGGGTCGCAGCGGTAGCAACGCTGACCAGTCATCCACAACGACCATCGAAGCCCGCTTGAAGGGCACGCGCCGGAAGATTTCTCTCGTTTTCATCACAGTCATTCTTAATGTATTGCTTTGGAGCGCTATCATTTGCATCGCCGCATCCCTCTATCAGATCATCTCGGATCCATTTAATACTTCAAGTTACGCCCAGGTGGGTTTAACGATAATATCAGTACGTGAGCCCGATCTTCCGGTACAAACGATCATATACTGATATCTATAGGCCTTGTTGACGATTGGATATACCATCTTTCATTCAATTCTTGCACTGAAGCAGAAGCTATGGGAACAACAACGGCGATACTCGGTCGCCATGAAAAGGAATTCTACTGTTCCTACTCGTATAGCAGGATCAATGTGCGCACTCTGGCTGCTGACTTCCGGTTGGGACATGATACTGGTCGCAAGCACACCTGTCTGTTTGCCAATGGCACCAGAGCTCGACAGCTCGGAATACGGCCTCACCTGTCATATCAGTCGCGTCGGAATAGCTTTCGCAGTAATCTCACTGTAAGTAACATCTTTGCACAACCATTCATATGCTGACAATCCCCCAGTGCTTCGTCAATTGCCCTCTTGGGCATTCTTGCTGGTATTGGCCGTCCGTTCGAAGCGCATTTGCTCAACCATGGTTACCAGCCGCCAATCGAAGTGTACTCGAAACCTTATACTCCCGGACCATCTGATTCGGAGGTTGTCATGTATCAATCTCGCGAACATTTTCACAGGCCAAAGTTGTTGCATGAGATTAAAGTCTCCGATCCTTCGAACGCCAATTCAGATTTGCCCAGTCCAGAGGATGCTCTGCTACGTGCGATCATGTCACCTCCTTATACAGTGTTTTCTCCCCGAAGAGGCGTTTTCACGTCCCATCACACGCCGCCGCCTATTCCTGCCGAGTATGTTGCTCCGAGACGAAACTCACTACCTGGCACCTTCCGAGTAGCACACCAACCACACAGATACCAAAAGTCACTTGCAAACTCGTCGCGATCTTTTGTATCTGGCGTAGTCCCAGGATCTACACGGCAATCATTACCTGCGCACTTTTCGAAAGCGACATGGCGCGTTGCCCATCCCAACCCAGCTTCACTAGCACTACTGGCTCATTCTCATCCCGAAGTTGTCAACCGCAGGTTTTCCTCCTACCAGAGTCCCTATTCTCGCCATTCGACGACACTCACCCGCCCACAACGCCTGAGCTATCATTCAGCTGCTCCAAGTGTCCGCTCACAATCTGAACATACAGACTCAGATCGTCGAAGTAACTCGTTATCGAGAGGCAATTCAAGCGAAATAGCGCGTGCCTTCGTACAAGGTCTATCTATGCCCGCACCCGCCCATCATCCTCCTCGCCCTCGCAACATCCGCATAACAACTACCCTCGACACTGGATCCACTGAAAAGCAGTTCCACCGCATGAGCGCTCCCCTCCCAACCAATACCACACAAGATGCCCCACCCACATTCCCTAATCCAAACAGACCCTACATCCGCAGCGCCTCCCCCGGCTTCCTCAGCTTCTTTAGTCCAGATACCAGTCCCGTCGACACCTCCCCTACGGATCCCAACCCTCCAACCACCACCCTCGCCCCAAACACCAACAAACCCAATCACAAGATCCCACGTAAACCTGTCCCGCTCTCTCGCCGCCCCTCGGAAGCTGCAAGAGCCATGTTCAGCAACATGCCCGATGACCTACCGATTCTTCCGCGATCGCCCAGATCCCCCGGTGCGACGATGCTAGTTATGATGACGCATGGGCCTGTGAAGCAGAAGAGGATGAGCGTGTATGAGGAGGTGAAAAATAAGCCGTTGTCCCGGATCGCGATTTTGTAAGCCTGTGGAAGGAATGTGTGGTTGATGGATATTGATTTTGCATTTTGAGCGAGTTTTTTTAGACATCGGGTGGAGTTTGGGAACGGGTATTATGATGGTGTTATGTGTTTTTTTGGAACTATGTATGTGTATAATGCATAATGACCCTCATATCTTCTCCATTTTCTGGTGCGTTGCTGGAAGGAAGGAGGGTGTGTTCTGCGGGATGCAAGTGTGAGTGGGGAATGCGGTCCGCTTGTGCGTCCGAACGACATGCGGGCTTTGTTGATGCAAGATGATTGGTGGGTTGCACGTGGGTTTTTTACGTTATTGAGTTGATGTGGTTGGAATGAGTGTAAAATGACGCGGTGGCGTCGCTCGCTGATGGCAAGGGTGGTTCTGGTTATGTTTGGCTGGAAGTGTTTTAGTCTGGAATGAACAGTGGTTCGTCGTGGAACGAGTGAAGAAAGCCACGTTGTATGTTTTGGGACAGAGGTGGCGCTTAGTGATGAATGCTGTAACACAAATGGACGATCTTTCGAACTGTCTTTTTGTGACGTTTGTCGTGCTGAAACATGGCGCATATGGGGCTAAGCTGATCGAAGTCATCTTGTCTTCTAGAAAACCATAGAGCGGCCGCTGACCTACCTACTTGAGCCAGTAGCGTGTTTTGAAACCTTTGAGAATGCAATTAGTTATGCTGACCCCCCACCCCCACGCTGACTATCTGAATTCACCTGTGTTTGTAATAGTGCGGTGTTGGACAGACACACACACACAGGGAGCCCCACCGAGGTATCAAGAGCGTTGTGAAAGGCGTCTGTAGCTCCCAAGTACGTACACACTCGCTGCTACTACTATCTACCTATTAACACATATCTGGTCCACCGTCCACTTGTTGCAACTGAGCTCGAGGATCGTGTTGACGGATTTTTCAAAACTAATCTGGTGTCGAGGATTTATACTCCCGATCCTTAAGCCCAGTTGGACTGTGAGCGGTTCTACTGGATTAAGCTTAGGGAATCAATTCTTCTGATCGACGATACCAGATTGGGTTTAAAGAATCCGTCCCCGCAACCCTCGAGCTCAGTTTCGGAGGGGTTGGACTACACCTATGAGTCGCGCAGTGCCACCTGAACTAACTGTATAGTATTGGGTTCATGGGATCTTTCCTGCGAATTCTCGAGTTCGGCTGGTGGGCTATAAGTCTCGCAAGTGCTGTGTGAACTGCCTACTAGATGAGGCGTGAGAAATCCGTCCCCCGATCCTCTATACTCAATACGGCTTGGAGAATCGGAGAATCGGAGAGATAGATCCTCTAAACCCAATCCTGTGTCGGCGACCTGCTTAGGGACCTGCCGTTGCAGCGTCAGTCTCAAAGTCGAGTGCCAGGAATAGGCTCAAAGGTTGTAAAAAGTGGGAGTGAGAAGTATTCGAGTTTGAAGGCATATGTCTAACAGTGGTGTTGAGAAGTATGGCGTAGGGGCTCCAAGGCAGCATGCTAGAGCTAATGCCAATATAGTAAGGTGTATCGTATTGGTCTTTGTAAAGCGGTATGATAGATAGGCAGATGTAAGTGGAAAGTGATGGGATGTAGCTAAATTTGCTTTCTTTTCGGGTTGTGCGATGTAAAAGTGTCAGGTAATATAGTATGGAGCGCCTACAAAGGTCAATGAAAGAGATCTGCTTCACACAACCCACCCCAATAATGAACTCGAAGACAATCAAGAGAAGTCTCAATAACCCAATGCATAGTTCGATACAATCTGCACCTATCGCAACAGCCTCAAATATCCTTGACATTAAATGCACCACCAAATCAAAGACATACTACCCCAATGAGTTTAGAGATCCCCAACAATTGTGGTATGCAATGCGGTGAGAAAATTTAGGCCTCCCACTCACGTAACACAATGGGTAGATGTTTTCTTACTACAATGTGAACAATGTGCTATAGGGTCAAACAGTCTCCTATACTACTACTGCTACTACTACTACTACGGATATTGGACCGAGGCTCACTACCAACACAGCACCAAGAGTTTACTAAACAACAAAAGTATGATATGACACTCACTACATATCAACGTCGCAGCTTTTCCCTAGTTGAGGCATAGGGATGATGACAGCTCAAAAAGGCAACCAGTGGCGTCTGACAGCCAAGACTAGATCATGACCTCGACTTGCCTGTTCGTGCAACATATGTAAGATCCCACGTGGAGAACCGCGCGTCGATGTGCCGCGATGCGTGGGTTGGCCCTTGGCTCCACGTCAATGTGTGCGTTGGTTCGGGCGGATTTTCTGTGCATGCGATCGCTGCCGGGGCTGGACCTGGTATTCGGGTCGATGCTGCAGGTGTCAATGGTGGGTAGATGAGAAGGAATCTAAGGCAAGGTGTGTTTCTCGATTCAGTAATAATTCTTCTTTAACTGGAATCTGTTGGTGTAAGTGAACGTGGAACGAATCAACAACATCTCCTTCGCAGTGTGCTCCGATCTGAAGGACAACTAACAACACAGCTCTCTAGCCATGAATCTGACTGCTCATTAGCCCACCCCAGGAATTCTTCTCATGTCATGAAAATACCCAGAATCACTTGACTACCCCAGTTTTCCACTGCTGATATCAGCTCAGCCTGCACTAGAAAACTTCATCGACATCATCTGCTCTCCACCCAGCCAACATCGCCTCGAGAACCGCTACGCCACCAACTATTAGCAAGCGGAAGTCAAGAAACGTCACCAACATTGGTGGAAGTCCTCTTTCATGACAGTCACATAACAGAGCAGTATGTAAGAAGATCGTGAGCAAGAAAACCATATAAAGCAAGCATCTCTCACCCACATCTACAGAACATCAGCTATCCAGTCACTTCATCTCATCTCAACAATCTACTATCCAACCAACCATCCAAACCCCAACTTTCAAAATGCAATTCACAACCCTCACCGCCCTCCTCGCCACCGCCCTCGCCGTGAGCGCCACCCCCCTCCAGCAAGACGTCAATAAGCGCCAGGAGGGCGGCGTTCCCCGCGTCTACGCCCGCTTCTACAACGACGGAGGCTACGGTCCTTCTCCCTGGGTCGAAGACACCGTCTTCATCCAATCTGAAACGGTCGGACTGGCCGGATGCCAGGATCTGACTGTTGGGCCGTTTGTTAGCACTTACTTTGATACCAACAACTTTAGCAGGACTGGTGAGTTATACGTCTGCAAGATGGGAGGTGCAGAATTGGAAATGCTGACTGAGATCTACAGTTCGATTCTTCAACCTTCCTTGCTCCCAACTTACTTCTACGACGAGTGGAAACTTTGTTGATATCAAGCCTGGCCAGCAGCCTGGATGCCAGAGCTTGGCTATTCGCTCTTGGATTACTTTGTAAGCGACTCGCGTCTTTTGATAGATGCTGAGTGCTTGAGCAGAGAGAGGAAGCTAGGCGTGGATGAGAGCGTAAAGAGCGAGAGAAGTTGGGAACTGGATGATTGATGGTAGCAAAGCCGGGTCCAACACTCCGGTTAGTTCTACCATGGATGTTTTACTTTCCTATCTTTTCGTAGTCACTCGTTAGGACAATTCTAGAGATTTTGGGGACGCCCCCCTTTTTTCTAATACTTGTTGATCGGTTTGGGGAAATGTGATGTAGTTGTAAAGGGTAGTGAAAGAAATTTTGGAGTAAGATTACGCGAATTGCTAGCGCGGAGACTCGTTCGCGAGGACTCGTTCGACTCGAAACCTTGCTGCAATATCAGAAATTGATAGTGAAGGACCTAGTTACCGTTATCCGTGTTGAATTGCTACCATATCCTATCATAGTTACTTGACTTTTTTTTAATCTGGTTGCTATGTAGCGTATTATATCAATAATCTTAGAAAAGAATAGTAGGCCACACCCTAACCAGCCGGAATCGAGTATTAAAGAACAACTTTGTAATGAAAGTAAAAAGTTTAGGTAGGCGTCTACGAGACCTTACTACAAACCTTAAACATCTATTTAGTAATACTATAAAAATACTTCTTCAGAGGGATATGTATATATTAGGCACACCTCTATTAGATACGACAACTAAACTACGGTTACGACAAGACAGTAGCACAACGAACTATGGTTGAAATAAGACTCGCAGCGTGCTAATGCCTATAGATTCGCCATATCGTCTCCAGTCTATTTCTCCCATCTCATTTCTCTCATATCATCCCGGCCACGCTCCTATCATAAGTCGGTGGGCGCTTGTTTGATTGGCCCGCCAGACTGGTCTTGGTAGAAGAACTTTGTGGAAACATAGATGTGATCCTGGTTCCGTACCATTTTCATGCCTATTAGAAATTCCTCTGGACCCACTCATCCGTCCCTTACAAACGAATAAAAATCGCCGCATACCTCATCCCTTATGTGCATATAGTTTCCTCCCCTCCATAAACCCTTTTTCTTTTGCACTCGATGCATTATCAAGTTACTCAACTCAAAGAAACACATACAGCCATGCATTTCATTTCCCCTGTTATCGTCCCCAGCGGCTTCTTCATCGCCAACATCATGGCCGCACCTGTCCACCCCCAGCTCTCCTCGCTCGCCATTCCCAGCCCCAACTCAACCACCTACGAAGCTGATATCGCAGCTGTGGTGGCTTATGCTCATTCTCACCCCGCTCCAGTCACCGCTATGGACACCACCATTGCTGCTGCTCCTGTGAAAGAGTGCGGCGCCTACACTAGGATGGGGGATAACTCTGGTACACTCACGTACACTAGCGAGGTCTGTAAGGACACGGCGGGGTTCGAGCATATGGAAGATTTTTTCAACTGGTACTGCGACTTGTGTATTGTCTTCGACGGTAAGTCTTACTCTATGAAAAGCCAAGCTTTGAAAGGTGAGACGGTTGGCTAATGTAGATGATACAGGTACTGCTTGTCAAGGCGCTATTCGCTGGAATGGTACACGAACGCATTGCGGTTATGACGATAAGCACCATGTCCATGGTGCTCAGAGTTACTTCTGCAACTAGGATGATTCATCAAATTGAGGAGCTTGGATGATAGGTTCTGCTTTGGTTTGTTGAACACAAGGCCTGGAGACGTGGCAGAATGGTTCGGGATGCCCGAGTTCGTGTTGATCTACAGGGGTATGGTTAGAGATAGTGAACCAAGTCTACACTTACCAAGTCATGGCCTAGGAATGGTTCTCTGGAAAAGGGAGGGTAAACGGGATGTATACTCCGAGCTTGGGCATTGAGCAAGTAGATATTTCGAACAACATGGAATTATATACTCAATTTCAGGGCGTCCATGATATTTACTTCTTGCTTTTCTTCTTCGTATCTCCTTCTTTACTATCCTTTGAGAAGCCACCCAATACCAGAGCCTCTCTTGCCGCAGTGTTGATGATACGAAATCGATCTGGGCCGAGCAAGATTCCACCGTACCATCGAGTCACAACAACCATTACGTTCCATACATCCATGAGTTGCATCAAGTGCAGCATGCGTGAGCCAGCAGCGGTCTCGCCATCGTCATCGCAGTCCTGATAGCTCGTATCGTTGGGACCCTTGATGCGCCACGCAGTCATGTTATGAGTCGCGCGAGCAGCCTTCTTGTCGGTCGCAAGAAGATGTGCAACATATTGTCTGGCCTGGGCCGGAGACGATACTGGTGCTACACGGGCTAAGAATACCGACTTCTTCTCGGTAAGAGCAGGTGCAATGATCCACGGCGGCTCCGGTCCAAGATCGACTGTTGGGTCAGGGAGACCATGGACATCGTGGTCGTCTTCTACGTTTGCATTTTCATGCTGGTCATGCAATTGAAGATCTCCCTGCTCTTCGGCTTGCTCCAAAGCTTCTCTTGCCTCTTCTAGCAAATCGTAAATGCATGCTTCTCCTGGTCGGTATACTCGTGCAAGAACATCCCGTACTACGTCGACTGCCCGGCTGCCCATACCCTTGGGTACATCCTGGCCGACAGACTGAGTGCCTAGCACTGATGGAGGGGCATCTGGATAGTCTGCGGGAAACTCTATGCGCAGAGTAATTGAAGGCAGAGACGGCAGGCGCAAACTGTACAGTCTCACATGCTCATCAATGGGCGACAGAGTGCCTTCGTCGAAGATGGCGTTGAGGGAGGTGACCTCGTCTTGGATGGCGTCGTTGGTGGACATGGTTGTGGTGGCTGCAACCAAATTGGTGGGGGTGGACAAGATCGGCAGGCGCGCTAGGCTTAGCGTCTTGTGCGCGCAACAATCGTCTTGGTGGAAACTTGACTGTCGCGTTCGACTCCCTTTCTCGTCCACACTCGCCTCTCAGTCGAACCTCTGTCGCATTGCTGTTCATGTCGCCTATCATGGCACCCAGCGATGATGCCAAGCGCGCGACAACTATACTGACGATTGCACAGTTGAAGTTCAAGCAGGCCATCAAGAAAACAGACAATGAAGACCGACTGCCACCTGTGTCAGTGGAAGTCAGCTCGCAACTCTTCAGCGGCATAGATGCTGTTCTTCAGCAGAACACGCGCGCGAACGTCCAGGTATCCTACTATGAAGCCATCGACCACATGTATCCGGGAGCAGACTAATTCGCCCACCGTAGAAATGCACAGAATGGATTGTGAAGCACATAGCTCCCTCCAAGGCCCGCATCGCTCTTCTCGGAGACTATCTGATTTCTGTCTCAAAGTCCATTGTCCTAGACCTGAACAACCCCGTAGTGGCAAAGAAGGCAGTCCGGAGCCGGATGGACCTGTTACTGATTGTCAACGATGTTCTCCATACTGACAAGTTTCATCGTCGGAGTGCCGTGAAGCAGGGCATGTTTGGCGACGTGTGTGGCAGTTTTGTCGCTGAGCTGATCGAGCAAGCCGCCGCGTGTATGACTGAAAAGGACTCGCAGCTCGAGAAGAAGCTGAAAGCTATTATCAACTACTGGGCTGTCAACCAGCTTGTCAGCGCAGATTGCCTAAAACTATGTAGAGACAGAGCAGACGAGGCACTTTCTATAGCGCATGGTGGTACGCCGGTCCGAAAGCGTAACTACCTTTTGCCCGAGTATCATGGCGATAGAACGGCCCCATGGTACGATCTTCCCGCCTCTTATATGCTCGAGCCCATGATCAAGCACCCGAACCGCCCGATCGACCCTTTGCAAATCAAAATCCAGAAGCTAGACAAAAAGCCCGTCTCCCCGCACGTCCGCAACTTGCTCGACAATTTCTTCGAGAAGATTGATCTCAAATACAGGCCGACTGGCGACAACCCAACTGGCGAGACTGCAAAATACAAACTGTCTTTGGACCCTATGGGGCAGCTGGTCAAACAGGACAAGGAAACTGGTGAGACGACAACGGTAGCGAACGGCTACGGGTGGTCGATGAAGTTTTGTCAGGATATGCAGAAGCACGGTGTTCCAGAGAACATAAAGATCGCACGGGAGGATATCGAGCGCATGGAGGGTGGTGCACAGTTTGCGCCCACCAGGCCCACGGCTCGTGACGCGCGACGCAGTCACCGGTCGCCTTCATCGGATTCAGATTACAAGCGAGGACGGCGACATTACAGTCGGAGCCGTAGCCGTAGCCGCCATGGCTCGGAGTCGTCTTATGATAGCCGTCGATCACCTCGACGGTCAAGATCCAGCGCTAGAATGCAAGAACACTGCAAATCCTCCCCAAAACCGACACACAAAGGCTATGACCAATCCCGACAGCCACCAAGGTCACAAGATCGAGACGAAGGCCAGCGTGAACCACAGTGGAGTGGACCGGGGGGCCAGAACAGAAGCGCTCATGGTAGTCCAAGTAATCAGCCATACCAAGCTTCAGTAATGCCACCCCAAAACTTCGGACAGCTGTACTCTCAACCGCCTCAGTCATCATTCAATGCGCCTCCCTTCCCGCCACAACCGGGTCAGTTTCCGATACTAATGCCGCCCTTTGGGATTCCACCACCACCTCCACCACAGTTCCAGGGAGCTGGTGCTTTCGTCCCGCCCCCTCCCCCACCAAACTACACAGGCCCGTGGCCTCCTCCGCCTCCAAATATGAGTGTACCACAAAATAGTTCACAACATAGTAGTCAGTATGGGAACAACAACAATGGATCCTATAATCAAAATCAGGGTGGCTATCAGGGGGGACGTGGTTATGGTAGCCCGCAGCGTGGAGGCTACAATAGCAACAGGGGTAATTGGAGGGGTACTGGACGTGGTGGGCGATACTGAGACTTGACTGCCTTTACTGTAATTGTATCCCTGTCGGCTCTATTTGGGTACTTTTGAATGAGACCCTGTGTGTAACGGCGAATTGAAGCAAACTCCTCTGAGCGATTGCTTCAAAAGATCTTAGAATTAGTTAATTTAAGGTTTCTATATTACCCAGTCGACCTATATCACTCGTCATCCTAATGTTTTATTCATTTTATGATTTGCGCATTATTCAATCTTATATAGTGAAATAAGTGAGTGAACTCTTTCTTAGCGGTGAGGTGATGTCACTGGTGAGGGCCAACAATAAGTACGCACCAGCGCACAATCACGCGCCAACGCGTTCGCGTGATTCGCGACCAGGGCCGACCAACCAACGCCCGGATAGTCCCGCCTTTACCACCATGGCTACTCATTGAATATCACCCATTGTTTCCAATAAATATTACCACTCACCATGGCCACAGACTGCTCCGAACTCACCACCAGCGGACGACGACGTTGCGTATAGCAATGGCGCAATCTACTAAGAGAAAACGCACTCAGACTAGAACGAAGCCGAGCAAACGACCCAAATACGTTGATTCCAACGACGACGATTCCAAGCTCTGGGAGGCAGAGTGTATTCTTGCAGAGCGCATTGTCAAAGGAGTCAAGAAATACCATATTAAATGGAAAGGCACCGACCCGAGCACTGGACGAGCGTGGCCAACTACTTGGGAGCCCGAAGAGAACGCGAACGACGAACTGGTGGCAGATTGGCTGCAGCGGAAAGCGCAGCGGAAAACGCAGGAATTGGGTGGTAGCAGAGGTCGCTCAGAACAACGAACAGAAGCAGATGCAGAGGCAAGGGCACAGACACAGGCATCAAGGCGCATTCGCAACTCGCGGGTCATTGATAGTAGTCCAGAGTCCACCACCCGCTCCTCGTCCACTTCGGAGCCCTCCACGCCTCCCCATAATAGAGCCGCCTTGGGGGATCCATCTAGTGCCACAAGTTCGCCTGTTGGTATTGCAGCAGCCCCTGGACTAGTCTTGCGGGTTTCACCTCGCATACGTATACGTCGAAGTGGACAGAGTCTAGAGCGAGACGAATTCGAGCGCGTCTCTCAAATACCTTTATCACAATCTCCTTCTACACAAGGACCTACACAAATACACAGTCAGGAAACCGATCTGGACAGCTCACAGCCCATTTCTGCAAGGCCAGAACCATATTCGTCCGGCATCGTCCCTGACTCGCAGAGCTCTGCTGGTGAAGCCAGTTTTATACCCATCACACAACAAATAGAAGGCACCAACCAGCAGAGTACTGGTTCTAGCAAGGTGCTGGAGGAAGAAGAAGATCTTGCAGACAATTCGGTACGTTCGCAATGTCACATGCAAAAAGTGACTTGTTTTACTTTGCTAACGGATATACACAGGGGCTTCTTGAAATCGTCCAAGGAGCGGGGTTGCAGGTTATCTCACCTACGAGGTCAATTCCAGAAACTATAGCAGACACAACCGTTGTAGATTCACAGAGTCAGCATCAAGGAATTGCAGCTCCGGGTTCGCTTGAACTTGTGAAAAGCCTATCACAGGCTGGACAAGTGACAACTCAAGACCAGGGGGAATCTGAAAGTGTCCAAGAGACCTATGCACGTGCTTCGCCTCCTACTGAACAGAACAAATCAAGTACTGGTTTACGGCAGCAACTCCAGGAACACGTTTCTCAGACACAGACAACAACGGAGGCTGCAGAGAAGGGTCCACTGGAATTTGTCAATATAGAAGAGATTCCTGTATCACCAAGGAACTCGACTGCATTTCTCAGTGACAGCCAGACGCCTCAGACTGGCCGACGCGAGCCAGACAGCGATCCTCTACCAATTGCTGCTGGTCCCTCTGGTGAAGTTACGCAACCTGACGTAGTCCAACAACTCCGTGGTCGCGATACTACTAGTAGCCAGCCAAGCCTAGCCGAGCATCCAGTTGCAAACGACGATCAGTCTCCATTCTACTCCCAATATCCAATCTCTGATTTCGCGCAACAAGCACATTCACCAAAGTTAGCTTCCGAGCCAGATTATCGCATTGCCGGGTGTAGTTCGCATCAACCTGCAGGTGTTAGTGCGACGCTAGAAGCCCAAAACAGCCAAGCGCTGCTCACTGGACCAGGTGCTCCAAACAAGACCACCTCAGATCCGTCTTACAACCCGCCACACGAACTAGTAGCATTGCCATTAAACAGTCAGGTCTGCGACAACAATTTGTCCAAACAACCGGTGACATCGAAGCCTGTCCGCAGCCTGTCGCCTGCATCGGAAGCAGACCCAGGACCAAGTTATTGTTTAGAGGAGCGCGAGCAGAACGCGCAAGTCGTGTCTTTAGAAGCTGTCCTAAGTACACAAGAGGACACGGCTGACGATATCCGAATCACGATTGAGAAGGATTACGCCGGGGATAGGGCGAATTCGGAATCACGCCACGACTCTTCCCAAGAATCACCAGAACCACCATCTCAGCCCTTGGATAACAGTTCATCTCCAGTTCCATATCCGCTAAGCTACTCTTTGAGAACTCAAGAGGCACAAGCTCCACCACGGCCCTACACCCCTGTTCCAACATCATCTTCATCCAGCATGGCGGGTGAAAGCACTGCGGACATTGTCAAGCGACAGTTGGAAGAGGCCTTGGCTAAGCAATTGACCGAGAATCCTTTCGTCCCAAGGAAACGAGCCAACAGGCCATCTACTGGGGCATCTGTCTCAGCAGCTGAAGTTTCAAGCACTCCGCCTAAGGCGAGCAGATTGCTAAGGACAGCCGAACAGGATGGCACACGATCTCCCTCGGCTGTGCCAGACCGCTCGCCAGCCATGCAGGTACCCACCTCGCTAAGGACGGTTGCATATGCTCCTAGTGTACCCCAAGCAGCGTCCCCGCAGGATGAGACCATGGCCTCAACATCGGGTGCTCATTCAGAAACCGCTGATGCTGATGCCGAAGCTGCAGCAGCCACCGAGTCCGCAGCACAAGATGTACAGCCGTCTGCTGGCTCCGAAGACATGGACGTCAGCGATGCAGACGATGAAGACAGTGAGAGCCTCTTGAACGACGATCTGCAGCTTGCAGAGCAAGAGTTCATTGTCCCCTTGTTTATCCAAGGACGACAAAGTGACATGTATTCTCAGCATATTGCGCTCAAGAAGGAAATTCTGGAGAAATTCCTCGAGGACCCCCACAGCGTAGAGCCAATCTCGCAAGTGGAAGAGATTCTGACATATCTCCGTGCAATAGAAACACACGTCGACTTGGTATTTGCCGAGGCTGGGTCTGGGCTCTTGAACGATGAAATGTCAATGACACAAGCTACACATGCCGCCCAATTCGGGATGGAAAACTCGACAAAATTCAGGTTCTTGCATAAGCTATTCCATCATTTACGGGATTCTGACATGCAAAAGCACGTCGTGTTGGTCACTGAGAAGGACGACGATGCACTCTTCAACATTCTTGAGACCTTTTGCGAGGCGAAGAACATCAATTACAATATGCCCACCAGAGGTCACCGGACGGATCCGACAGAGGTGGAGGGAGAGTTGCAAGTCACTATCATCCCGAGCAATGCAGCTCCCGTGATGCGCCCTGCCGATCTCATCATCTGTCTCGATGGCTTTCAAGATGCAAGACAGATCCGTAAGAAGAATTGGGCCAGGTCTCCCGAACGCGAGGTTGTACCAGTAATCCATCTCGTCATTCCTAGGACTGTTGGGCACATTGAGCGCTACATCGCGCCGAGTCTGGGTCCAGTAGAGCGTATGCATACTATCCTGGCAAGTCTAGCGCACGTTCGCCCAGACATTGGCAAGGCTATTGACGAAGACACACCACGAGACATTGTTTGTGCATCCTTGGTTGCTGAATGGCTCATGGACACGACAGAGGGCGCAGAGCAAAGCTGGCCGATACCATCTATTGGCAGTATCAAGGATGTCATCGAGTACCAGACGCAACTATCACAGCCTTTGGCAAACTCTCCGGTGCCTGAGCGTCTCAAGCGGCCTTTGCTGGTAAGTATTGTTACCAGAAATGATCAGACCAGCATCATTAATATGTGTATAGGACAAAGAAGAGCTCGATCCTTCGAAGCGGATGCGGTTCACTCCTCAGCCTCAACCACTTCAAAGCTCTGGTTCAGATCAGAACAATGAGACCACACGTATCAGCGATTCCATGCCTAGCACTGCAGCGTATGAATCAAACCTGCA